AAAAAAAAGATGTTTGATATTCAGACAGATAGTGAGCTCTCAACTGTATATGTTGTAGGGTAAAAATAAGCTTCTCTTCTGGAGGGTTAACAAACCTAAGTTTGCAGACCAAAAATCAGAGGAAAAGAAGGACTGCAAAGACAGCCAACATTTTGGCTCTAGCCTTTCAAGGTCAGTGAGGACTCAGGACATAGGAGAACCTATACTGTAAAATAATGTAGCTCAATTGTGTCCGAAATTTTCTGATCAAGAAGATTATGGTGCTACAGAGGAATATGATCAATGATGTAGAGTGTGCCTAAGGAGAATCACCTGGAGAGAGAACATTCTCTCAGGCTTTCACAGAGAGTAAATTGGTCAAGCTATGCCATGACTCATTCACATGGCTGACACTCACAAAGGATCTGCAAACTGTGGTATAGGGTTTCAAGTTAAATCCTGAGGAGGTTTGACTGACCTTATCAGATACAAAAGTTGCATTTCTTGTTATATAGGTCTTGCTTTATCTTGGTCTTAACCATCCAGCAGAAAAGTATGAAAATGAAGTATAAGAAGTCCACATTAGTATGTTGAGCTGTAAAAAGCTCAAGTCAACAACTTTGAACATTGCCAGTCTTAACGGAAAACCCACTACTATTATGGACTACTGGACTCTATTGGGAGATTCTGCTGAATTCAAGCACCTACAATATTTAAATGACAATGAATTGCCCTCCTTTGATAAAACTAACCAAAAAAGTGGGATAGAAATGAACGACCTTTTTGTATCTGCATTCTCAAAATAGAATAGATATACAGCTCCATTCTCTTAATTCAATGAATAGAAAGGTTTGTTCTAATAGTGTTTGAAACAGGATATCAGGTCTCCATCTTGTACAATGAATAACCACTAAGACAACAATATGCAATTTATTAATTACTTTAAATGTGCCAGTAATGGGTTATGAAACCATCTCATTGATATTTGTTTCTCAGTAAAATTATTTTTTAAAAAACCCAAACCTCCAAAGAACCCAATGAATGAAACTTAAAAAAAAATTATAATAGTCCATCAGAATTGAGAAAGATTAGCAAATAATAACATAGCCCATTCTTCTATGGCAAAAGTGGTGATAAAATTACATTTTATTATTGTGTAATAACAAATAAAGATTTTATGTAAATTGGAACTGAGGGAGGTAAACATGTCCTGAAAATTGGAGAAACATACTGTGGTAATTTAGATGGCCTATAAACATAAAGAGAGAGAAAGCAGATAAAACTTACCCTGTTACTAGGCTTGGTTTTTTTCTCCTTCATTCTGTTTTCTCTTACGACAATGAACTCTTCCTAGCTATAGTAGGTATTATATATCTAATAATATAAATTATAGGGGAGATTTCTCCTTTGATACTAGTTTATCTGTCAGATTTTATCATTGTGAATAAGCATTAAGAATTACTGTATTGCCAGAATGCACACATACAAAATTGTTTTCTTATCGAATATTTGGTTTTAGGTGACTTCACTTCATGCTGCATTAGAACAAGAAAGATCTAAAGTGAAAGTATTGCAAGCAGAATTAGCCAAATACCAGGTATGCTTTTAACTATTTTAAAGATTTTTCATCACAAATAGTACATTAAGCAAAAATTTATGCACAAAATATTTTAATTTTTTATTGGTCATACAATTTATATTTTAGAAAAGATTATTCTTGATATTGGTACATGTGGCAATACTAAAATAATTCAGAAAAATTCTTAGAACTGCACAACAGATGGTGTATACCCCATTGACTCAGATTAGGGGAAGGCACATAATAACATTTGTTCCATTATGTCATAAGCTTGGTTACCTAGTGAAGATGTCTGTTCCTTTTTGTATTTAATAATAGAGTGATGTTTTCATTTTATGTTTGTACCTGTTTAACTAGTGATATTACCCATTGATAATATTTGTATTAGATACTATTTGGGGATTGAAAAATAATGGTTTTAGCTGAGCATGTTGGCACATGCCTGTAATCATAGCACTCTTGGAGATTAAGACAGGAAGACTGCAATTTCAAGCCCAGACGGGGCAGCTTAGCAAGACTGTCTTTCGAAATAGAAGATAAAAAGGGCTGCAAATGTAGCTGAGCAGAAAGGCTCTGGGATCAATTACCAAGTTTTTTAAAAGTTATTTTCAACTTCTATCAATTTTTTGTGCATTCACAAGATTGAACTCAGAACTTTTCTCTGAATAAAGCAATAAAAAAATCAATACTTTGTTCTAATACACACGTTTGTGTGTGTATATGTACATATCTTTGTATGTACGGGTGTGTTATGTCCAAATCATGAAATACATTAATTCATATGAGACCATAGTCAGAAAGGTTTATAAGCCACACTGGTGACAGAAAGAACATAAAAATAGTTTAGTGTGAGCTTTGTGAATTAGTTGGGGAAGGAGAAATCTCTTTGCCTGGAAACTTTGGGAAGGATCTTTAGATACTTTTTTTCTTAAAAAATTGCATTAGGAGGCATTATAAGAATTTTAAGCTATATATGTTGGTAGCAATGAATATTAGTTATCTACTTTAACACTTTCCTTCCAGCTTGGGCTACGAGCTGCATGCATGTCTGTCCTGTTGAGTGGCATGGGACATCCAGTCAAGTGGTTGTGCAGTGGGACAGTCATGCATATACCACCAGTTATACAAGCTACCTAGCAGTGAGACAGGAATTTACAGCTCCACTGGGAATGTTTTAAAGAAAATTTTTTCCAAATTCATTTTTTTTTTTCCGCTCACAGGAAATTAACCTTCAAAAAAAAGTCATTATATATCTCAAATCCCAAGCAAATCTTTATGCTATTTTTCTGTAAATAAATACTTGCAGAATTTTTGTGATCCTATACTTGGGGTGTTTTTGTGTATTTTTTAGATGTAAAAATGTTTTGACCCCAAGAGAATTGCTATAGGCAGGAAAAGGGTGAAAGAAAAAAGAATGCCATCAGTTACAAATGGGTCTGAGCTTGATATGCCCCTGGTGTGACCAAAACTGTTTTTATAAATTTTCTTCCATAGAGAAGCAGCTCCCAAACTTGGCTGTCATCAGAATTTTATGGAAATGTTTTGAATTGCAGATTATAATCCAATTAAATAGGTTTAGAACAGAGCCTTGACATCAGATATTTTTTTTAAGATTACTACTTAGTTGAGTCTGACCAGCTAAGATAGGGTAACATTGCTATAGTTAGAAAATGGGAAAAAATATAAAACTATCAGTAGGTGAATGTATCATTTTATGCTTAAATTGAGGAATGGAGTATGTCATTATAGATGTTTTCTTTTTTGTATTTATCTTTTCCAAATGTCTATAGAATTTGTTTTTTAAATTAGAATAAAGCAGAAAATGTTCTTATAAATAATGTATGTAAACAACTTCTCTTTTAAGATACTGTCCTTTTTTCTTGCCTTATGTCAAACACCATAAATGGTGTTTCATATGCAACCAAATACATACAAGTTTATATATGTCGTAGAGCAATATGCAAAGCATAGTCTACTTTCCAATCTGCTAATGAACAAAGTCAAATTTACAATACTGTTTAATGTGAACAACATTAGACAGACCTTTTATGAATTCAGTTACCTACAAAGTAACAAACTGAATTACTAAGTTTGTTGTTCATGTGGAACAAATTAAATGTGTGGTTTATTTTAATATTGATCAAAAACTATTTTCTACTCTGGGAAAGTCAAAATGAATTCTAAAAATTAAGGTATTTGTGATCTTACAAAGTATACCTAGACAAAGTCATGTACAAGTATTCAAACTTTTCTACAACCTATTTTATTTTTTTAATTTATTTTTATTGAGAAACAAATATGAATGAGACAGTTTCATAGCTGATTAATAGGACAGTTTTGATATTCAATACACTGTACATTGTTATCTTCTTAGTGGTTATCCATAGTACAAGAAGGAGACAGGATATTCTGTCCAAACTCTGTTAGTACACTTCTTTCTTTTCATTGAATTAAGCAAAAGTAGCTGTAAATTTATCCTATTTTGTATATATAAATACAAAATGATCTTTCCTTTGTATCCTTTTTTTTTTTTTATCCTGTCAGAGGTGAATATTCTATTGGCATCTAAATACTATAGGTGTTTGAATTCAACTAAACAATCTAACACTGTCTAGCAGTTTATAATATTAGTGGGTTATCCTCAGAAGTTATTGACTTGACCCTTTTACAGCTCATTGTATGAATATGGATTTACTTGATATACCTCGTTTTTATACTTTTCTGCTGGAGGGTTAAGACCAAGATATAGCAAGACCTATGTAACAAAAAATGTAACTTTTGTATCTGAGAAGATCAGATACAAAGTACTCTCAGGATTTATCCTGTAGCCCTGTACTGTACTTTGTACGTCCTTTTGTCAGTGTCTGACATGAGGATGAGTCATGGCCATTGTTTGACCAGTTTGCTCTCTGTGAAAGCTTGAGAAAATGTTTTTTCTCTCCATGTGACTCTCCCCAGGCTCACTTTACATCATCAAACACATTCCTCTGTGGTTCCATAATCTTCTTGATCAGAAAATTTGGAGCACAACTGAGTTACATGTTGTTACAGTACAGGTTCTCCTATGTCCCGAGTCTTCACTGACCTTGAAAGGCTAGGGCCAAAATGTTGGCTAACCTTGCAACCCTTCTTTTTCTCCAATTTTGAACTGCTAACTTAGGTTCTACAACCTATTTTAAACATTTGTTAACAATATAAAATAATTTAGTTGTATTTGTACTCATAACAAATTCAAGAAAAAATGCTTTATTTTTCTTATTACAAAATGCCTTTGGTCTCATATTTTTTGAAATGAAAATGGCCTCAAAATGGTGTTTCCTAAGTACTTTGCCCTATTTTTCTTTACAGGGTGGCAGAAAAGGAAAAAGAAACTCTGAATCTGACCAGTGCAGGTGATTACATTAGCCTTCAAAGTCAACACAAAAATTAAACTTTCAGGGTTTTTCAAAATTGTAGATACTTAATGTTGTGCAGCTGCTAACCTACGCAGTTTTGTTGAAGAAACAACAAGCAACTAGCTAATAGTCTATAATTTTGTTTTTTGGCTTAAAAGTGAAAAGAAAAAATGTAGAATTCCAGTAGAACTTAATAATTATTGTTTACTGTCTATACTTCTTATCACTTTAGTTTTTCATCATTCAATAAAACTACTTTACTATTAGTCCAATGTTTGATTTATTTAAGTTTCATAAACAATGTGAAAGCATTATTTTTGCTTATAGCTCAATCAGTTGGACTCTCTAAGCTCAGCAAATGTTCATTTAGCATTTTCTGTGCATTATGCCTTACAGAACAGATAAGTGAAATATGGTTGGTGTCTTCAGTTAGCTTATGCTGGGAAAAGAGAGGATGGAAGAGGGTAAAGTAAAACAGGAGCAAAAATAATTATCATGTGTTCTGTTGTTTAGAAATTGAGAAAACTTGAATTTGGTAAATTTTTATAAAGTTATTTAATTTGTTGAAAACTATTTCAAGTCGAAGGAATGAAATCTGGGCTGAAAGATTTGTTTAAAGAACAGTCTACCCTTTGGACGATAACATGACACACTGAGAATAGGAAGAATACTGATGTGTTGGGAAGGAATGAACATGAGATTTTTCTTTAGTGTAGTCATTTGCTAGAATAACTAGTTGTTTATGGGGCTTATGGTCTTTGAGTATATTCAGTAAAATACAAGTATAATTCACTAGGAAAAGGTTTTCCATAAATACTGGTCTTGACCTCCAAAATCACCATTATATGAAAAGATTCTACTTGCCGACCATCTTTGGAATAAAAATATTGAACAGAAAGGTCATGAAATTGTCATCATCATTTATACATCTGTCTTCTCGCATGAGGTTATATGAATCTTGTAAATAGTTGTGATTTATAATTCTCTATATTCTCAGTGTTCAGTCTGTTGTAAGTAGGGGCTAAAGAAGTCAAACCCAAGGCTTCACTCATCCCAGCAGTCTCCTGCTGAGCTAGGCCCCAGCCCAGAGAGCCCACATTTTGACTGCAGCATATATGTATATAGGGAAGAATGAGAAAGCCAGAAAGATAGTGTGGGGATGTCTGTCATCCAGCTTGGATGTCAGATTAAGAAATCTGTACATAGTTTAATGGGTACACATGAAAAATTAAAGCTTACCAACAAAGGAGTCTGGTGACCAGAGTTCTTTAAGATTAAAGTGTCAATAATGTGATAGAAAATTATTTTAAGTCATTTGGAAGAGACTAAGAAGTGTCTTTTATAATAGTTTAAACAGGAGATAAAGGAGATCTGAACTAGGAAAGTTATGCTGGGATTCAGAAAATAAACATTTCCACAGTGGAGTCTAATGGACTTGTGAAAGAAAAGTGTGAGAACATCAGAAATTAAAAAAGAAGGAAAGGAAAGAAAAAAAAGTTTCAGCGGGGCTGGGGAGATGGCTCAGTGGAATAAGTGCTTCCCTGGCAAGCGCAAGGGCCTGAGTTCAATCCCTGGTTCCGCAAAAAAAAAAAAAAAAAAGTTTCAGGCCTAAGTGGCAATAATAAGTGAAGTTCATTAATACATAGGTAAACTGATGAGATGAATTAACTGAAAGAGGGACAGAATTCACTTTTGACATATTGAATTGGATTTTCTTTCAGAGAATCTAAAAGTAGAGCCCATTAAATTGAAAATAGAAATCTGGTCCTTTGAGGAAAGGCTGGAGCAATTACTGGTTTTAGTTCTGCTTACAGTTAGTGTATGAATGATTCACACACTCAAGGATATGTATGCAAAAGAACTCTTGGCTGCAGACAGACTTTGTGAGCAGAGCAGAGTGGTCAAAATTGTGGGAGGCCAGGTTGTGAATGCTACATGAAGGTCCGAAGTTACAAACATGATTTGGATTTAACATCTGTAGGACACATGTTAAATGAGATTCAGAATGGCTTGTTCAAGTAGCACAGAAGAAAGGTATTGAGGGATAATTAAACTTCTTTTAAGACTTGGCAGTTTAAGAAAGAATCTTTAACTGAGGGTGTAGCTCAGTGGTAGTGTTCTTGCCTAGGATGTATGAGGCCCTGGATTCTATCTCTAGTACTAAACAAAGAGGAGAGATTGAGGTGCACTGAAAGGAGCTACAGATTCAGTGAGGTTGGTTTTTAATGTAGGACAAAAAAGACACAAACACAGAGGAAACAGATAAGAAAACATACAGAAGGAAAGAGAGAAAAAGTTGACTTCAAAGTGTACCAATTAGTTACTTAACTTGCCATCTCTAACTCATAGTTTAACACTAAATTAACCTGCTCTCTGTTCATGAAATTATGGCCTTTTGAATATGATGATTTTAAGAATGTTCAAATAGACATAAGGGTTTTAAAAATAAATATAAAATTATTTTATGACTTACACCTAGTATGTTTCCATGATGTGTAGCTATTACCATTCATTGTGGCAAGGAAAAAAAAGTTGAAAAACTAAAAGATGATAAGTGAAAGCCTAAGATTCTGCAAAATATAAATCATAAGTTGTTGGGTAAATTCTTAAATTAAATTTAAAGTGCTATTTCCTTTTTTAGAAAAGTCAGCACCCACTGCTGATGTTGTTACCAACTGCATAACAATATGTGCTATTACAAGCCTTATACTTTAATTTCAAGCAGTAGTAACAAAATAGAGAGCATTAGAAACAACCCCAATGTCCAATTTAAATGGTTAATGTAATACTTCAACAAGAACTAGAAAAGATGTAATTAGAATAATTAAAAACATGGGATTTGCTGAACAAAGTTGTTTTTAAAAAATACAAATACTGTGCCAGGGAGATGGCTCAGTGGAATAAGCACTTCCCTGGCAAGCACAAGGGCCTGAATTCAATCACCAGTTCCACCAAAAAAACCCAAATATGTGTACAGTGATTAGAGCCATGTGAAAAAAATATATATGCACCTGGACAAACTGGAAAGTGGTTAATCCTGAATCAAATTGCTCAGGGTGGGTGGAGAAATTTTGGGTTAGTTTGGGCTTTTCAAAATTTTATTTAACATACTGAGTTTGTTGTTTTGCAGTGAAAAAATACAAAAAACTACTTTTGCTTGGATTTGTGTTAAGCAGTTTGCTTTTATGAAGCACACTGTATCAATTTGTTTTGTTGACTGATATATTCAGATAAATTAAGTATTATTATGGGACATATCCTGGGCATGGAAGTTTTATTTTTTAACCCAAAATCCTTTAACATAAGTAGGCAAGATAGCATTATGAACCAAATGACCACATGAATGCAAGAAAAGTTTCACTTGTTTTACTTCCTATTGTTTACATTTTAGAATTTCAGGAGTTTTACCATCATTAACCATGTCATAGAGTTCTGGTGACAACTATTCAAAATTAACTTTTTGATAAGCATAACTAAGATGTGAATTATTTTATAGCTTTTTGTCATTAACTATAATTTGCTTCTCTTTATAAATTTATTAGGGAAAATAATTTACTTCGAATACTAATATATATATATTTAAATTTATTTATTTATTTTTAAAATTTTATTTATTTATGTGTGTGTGTGTGTGTGTGTGTGTGTGGCCAGCTCAGCCCACCAGAGGGCGGGGCTGGCTGGCATGTGGTGCTGGGGGATCGAACCGCGGTCCCTGTGCTTTGCTAAGCTTATTCTAAGTAGGTGATTTAGACCACTGAGCCATCTCACCAGCCCTATTTAAATATATATATATATATATATATATATATATATATATATATATAAATTTATACAGACTGTGCCATCTTCAGTAAGATTAGATTTTAGAACAGCTTTGATATATAATTGACCTACAGTTTCATATAGTAGATTAAAATTAGTAAATGTGCTTCGTGATATCAGTTGTTTAAAATTTGTTGAGATCTGCTTTATGGACCAATTTGTGACCAGCTCAGTAAATGTTTTGTCTAGATTGAAAAACATGGATTCTATAATTCTGGAGTGCAGTACTCTTTATATGTTTGATTAGATCAAGTTTGTTAAAGTCAAATATACCTTTAATGATTTTCTGTGTTCTGTTCTATAAATTACTTAGAAAGGTATGTTAAAATCTGTCAGTGATTGTGGATTTGTCTACTTTTGTCCATCTTGTTTTTGAGGTATATATAAATTTAAAATGGTTTTATTATTGTGTTGAAAGATAAATTTTATTTCTAAGAAGTGACTCACTAGTATGTTTTTTACTTTAAAACTCTTCAACATTGTAGCTGGTGAAAGCTTGCTTGAACTTAGTGTTTTGGTGATATATTGATATTTTTTTAGTCAGTCTGTATTTTTTTTCCTCCCCGCTCCCCCTATTTTCTTTTTCTTTTTATTGGGAGTTGAGCCCAGAACTTTTGTGCTGAACTATATCCCCAACCCTTTTTTATTTTGAGACAAATTCTGTTGCCTAGCCTGGGCACAAACATTTCATTCTCCTGCCTCAGTCTCTTACAGTGCTGAGTCATAGGCATGCTCTGTCAAGCCTGGCTTTGTCCTTATATTCTTTTAAAGGGTCTTTTATAAAAGGCCTATTACAGTTTTTGATTTTTAATCACATCCTAACAACTTCGTCTATTGCTGTTTATCTCTTTTTCATTTTCTTTGAGTCTCAGAGTTGGTGACTTTTCTCTGTCATCCAGTTTTTGATGCTTTTAAAGCTTTCCAGCTCTTTAACTTTTCAGGCAAGAATTAGTCCGAATAAGCTGTTCCTTCATACCCCTTGAAAAGGAAAAACTTACTTCATTATTTTTATTTTCCTATTAGTTGAGCTTTCCTCAGTAGTTTATAGTACTAAAGTTTGCTTTCACAGACAGGGTCAACATTTTGGCCTGACATAAAAGCAGCTATTATTGGAGCAAAGTAACTGACAATTTGGTGTTATTTTTTGACACTGTGGTTCACTTTGAGCCAATAACTTTTTTTGTTTTTGATACAAGGTCTTATTCTGTAGCCTAGGCTGGCCTTGAACTCACTATGTAGCCCAAGCTGACCTCGAACTGGCAGCAGTCCTTTTGCCTCAGCCTCCCAAGTTCTGGGATTACTGGTGTACACCTCCATACCCAGCTTTTGAGTCAGTAATTTTAGTATTACCAAATGTAACATTTTTGTCTACCTACTCAGTGGTAATACATATACTAAAAAAAAAAATTACATAGTAAAACTCTTTGGCTTCTGGAAAAGCAGTACTAGTCATGTTACTGTCTAGTCTGTTTGGTGTTGCCCTAGTGAAACACCAGACACTCATTCACTACTTTGTAAATTAATGATTCTTGACATGCAAGAGTGCGGTGCCAGAGTCCTGGCAAGGGCCCCCTGCTGCATTGTAACAAGGTGAAACCAGGGGTGAGAGACCGTTGAGGGGTGCCAGGCTCACTTACAGCATGGATTCTTCCTCAGGCCTTGCTTCACAAAGCTTCCATTACCTCCAGATTGCCATGTTAGGGACCAGGATTACAGCATAATTTTGGTAGACACATCAAACCATAATGCTGGTAAGTTGTAGGCTTATTTTATAGCAAGTATTTTAGTCAGAGTAAGTTATTTTCTTATTTCTAAAAGTTATCGCTCTTTGCCGCATCTCCTGCAAGAATGAAGACCATTCTTAGCAATCAGAC